AACGCTGGTCTCTGGTCCCTCGGCACCTGCCCATGGTGGGGATCAGCCCAATTCTCAATTCAGAAGCACGGGGAAAATTTGGTGGAGGTTTTTCCTGGTGGAAAACCTGCTTGGGGATGGTTGTCTGGAGGTGGGCGAGGGCTGCCCGGGGCCGGCAGTGCTGTCCCTGCGTGGCCCCAGCTGTCTGCCGAGCGCTCCATTTTGTGAGCTGGTGAAATTCAGTTTGACCCCAACCTACCCCTGTGCACTGGGAGCGCAGCGAGAGCAGGTGTGAGCAGAGAGGGAGTTTAACAGGAGCAGATCTTCCAGGCCTGGTTGGCTCGGGGTTGGATTTAAGGTTTTTGGGGCTGCTGGACGTGTTGCTGCTGAATGAGGGTGGTCTCCCCCGTGGCACTGATGTAACCTGTTCCCTCCAGGAGCTGATACACGATGGCCCACAGTCAGTCTCGGAAGCGATCGCGAAGCAGGAGCAAAAGCAATTCCCGGAGCAGACAGGAGAGGAAGGAGAAGAAAAGGAGGAAAAGCAGCAAGGACTCGCACCACGGCAGCAGCTCTCCTCCGAGGAAGCGGACCTGTGGGTCTCACAGACACAAGTCGAGCTCAGCGGCAGCTAAGGAAGGTGGGGGAAGGCCCATGACCTCGTGCTCTCACCACATTTTCCTGGGGCAGGTGCACAGAGGGGGCCCAGGTGGGAGAAGAGGGTCCCTGCTTTTAGCTCAATAGGTGTCTGTCGCCTTGCCCTGCACTTCGTGCCCATTTTAGTCTCATTCTGACAAGTGCAGAGCTCTACAGCCCCTCCGTGGCCGGTCTGGCAGCGTGACACCGCACACTGTGATGGGTTAAAGGTGTTGGCACAGAGGGGTCTTTGTCCCCGTGTCTGGGGGCTTTGCAGTTCTGGCAAGAAGGAAACCAGGCTGGGAGGGGATGACCAGCATCCCTGCTGCTGCAGGGCCAGAGCTGCTCCACTCAGCCTCTTCTTATGTATTGCAGAAAAGAAGAAGGAAGGAAAGGACAAAAAGAAGAGGAAGGCAAGTACCTCTTCCTCTGAGACCGCATCTTCATCCACCAGCTCCTCCTCGTCTTCCTCATCCTCCAGCTCCTCTTCTGACTCCAGTGACAGTGACTCCAAAACGAAGAAGAGTCGACACAGCAAAAAAAAGCAAGCGAAACAGAAAGACAAAAAGAAGAAGAAAAAGAAGAAGAAGAGAATAAAGAAGAAATCAAAAAAGAAGTCAAAGGAAGGGGCTAAGGAGGAGAAAGCCAAGGGAGAAGAGATGCCCGGTCCCTCGCTGGAGCAGTGGCAGAAGGAGTCACTGGTGGACTCCGGACCAGGTAATGATGGTGTTTCCTGTCTCCTGAAGGGAACGATGCGCTGGGGAAAGACACTCACATGTCACCCTTCCTGGGACCCCCTGAAAGGTGTCTGAGGGAAGCAGGGCTGCGAACAGGGAGGAGCTCCAGACTCTCCTCCCTCCTCTGAGCCATGGCCACCTTTGAGCCACACCAAGTAAACGTGAGGAGCCACATTCCCAGATTCATTTGTGAAGAGTTTAGTTGTCGTGTATAGATGTGAGTGGGGAACAAAGATGCCACACAGAAGGACACAGTCAGCAGTAACAAACCGGCACAGCTGGCTTTGGGATGTGAAGCGGCCCTTCCTTGGCGTGGTTCCTCACTGAACCCCGAGTCCCGCGTGCGTGTCTGTTGACTGCAGGTGTGGTGCTGTGCCCCTCGGCCAGGAGCTGGCCCCACACGTGCAGCTCTAACTGATCCATTCCAGTTTTGACAGATGAACAAAAATCCCGAATCCAGGCTATGAAGCCAATGACAAAGGAAGAATGGGACGCGAGGCAGAGTGTCATAAGGAAAGTCGTGGATCCTGAAACAGGGAGAACCAGGTATGACCCTTGGGGAAGAGGGAGGTGGGTTGGTGTCCTGGTGGATGCCCATCCACAGCACTGCAGTACCACATGCGGACCCAGGTCACTCCAGCAGCAAAGGCCTGAGCAGATCCCTCACAGATCCCTTCCCATCAGACCTGGTGTAACTTACCCAGAAAGTGTCACGTTTGGCACCAAATTACCACATTGTGCCGGGGCTCCCTGCAGGGGACAGCGGGCTGCGTCCCAGCCAGGAGCTGTGGGGAGCACTCTGCTGCTGGAGGCACTTTTGTTCCTTGTGCTGTGAAGGGTTCAGCTTCTTCCCATTAGATGGGACTCAGGAACTGGGGTCAGAGCAGGAACCAGAGGGGTGTCCCCTCCTCACCCCACTGCTTCATGCCTTGGCCTTTCAGCTCCGAAGCTCGCACGCACTCAGCCCCGGTTAACCCCCGGGTGCGAGTGAGGAGAGAGTGTGTGTGCCCCTTGGGGTTCCAGACAACAATCAAACCAAAGTTCTTTCAGCTGCCATATAGAAATGACCCAGTTTTTAATAAACTGCGTCTTCTCAGCAAGCAGAAAACATCATGCTGAAGAGAATTGGGTATGACAAGTCCAGCCTTAAAATAGAAGGCAGCCTGCAGGGCTCAGGGAGGTGTGGAACAAAGGTCGGGTCCCTGTAAGGCACGTAATGAAGACAATTAAATTTCTGTTCATGTTTGGAGGTGTGAGCCACCTCCAGCACTGCTTGGAATTTGCTCAGGCAGGAGCTCCCCAGTCTGGCTGCCTTTCTGGCCCAAACTGGCTCTTGTTTCTGCAGTTTTCTGGGGCAGCCAGGACAAGACCTGAACTCTCTGAGAAAAAAAATAAATAAATAAAAAAAATAAAGGGGATTTGCGGGGGTTGGGGTCACTGCTGGTGACAGCAAAGCCTCTGCAGACGGTGGGGTGGCAGGAGATGCTTTATTACGAGTGTTTCCTCCTGCTGTGTGCCAGCGTGGCTGGCTCTGCACACAGCAGGCAGTGCCCTCAGCCTGGGACAGGGACAGCTGGCCCATGCAGGGGGATGCTGATTCCTCAGGGGGAACCAACCTGTCCTTGCTGTGGTGTGGTGACATTAATCCCACAAGAGCAATGGAAAATCCAGCCGTGCTATTTAAGCTTGATACAGCCAAAAAATGTCACCTAATGCAACTTCAGGGGTAAGATAATTGTCACTGGCTGTGCCTAGAGTGCATCAGCCCAGCACCTGGCCCCGGGCACATACCGCTGTGAGGGAGCTGGTGGCTTTGTCCCTGAGCTGGGGCACAACAGCAGCCCTCGGGGTGGGGGTCAGTGTCTTCTGGGACACAGTGTGGCTGGCAGGAACTTGCTGGTAGCCCTCATGGCCCTGTGCTTGTCTTCCAGGCTTATTAAGGGAGATGGAGAAGTACTAGAAGAGATCGTCAGCAAGGAGAGACACAAGGAGATTAACAAGGTACTGGGGACTTGCCACCAGCATGAGCTGCTGGTGGGTGGGTGGGCGCACCCTGGGGTGTTGTCTTGCCTCCCTGGGGACCCCCCTGACTCTAGCAGGGCAAACTGAGCCCTGGCAGCTCCATGGGAGGCCCCATGGGTGGGTGCTGGTGGTCCTTCACCCTTGGCAGGTGGAGCTGTGAGTGCTGTGTGTCTCTTTACAGCAAGCCACCCGGGGGGACGGGCTGGCCTTCCAGGTGAGGACAGGGATGCTGCCGTGAGCGTGCAGGTGCCAGCCATGCCCGGAGCGTTGTGAGGGTGCGGGTGCCAGCCATGCCCGGAGCGTGTCCTGCTGCCAACACCAGCTCAGGCATGAGCCTCTGTCACACAGACAGCACCACATCAGGATGCTTCCCCAGGGGCAGTGTCCAGACGCTCTGTAAGTTATTGACTGGGAAAGAGAGTGACTTTAATGGTTCATCGTCTCCCCTCCCTCTCCTGACTGGGGCCAGCGGGGCTGTAACACACTTGGACCTTCTTGCCCTGATGCCCCTTTCAGGGCTGGAGAAGCTCAGCAGCACCCAGGGACAGGCTCACTGGTGCTGAGCACCTCGTGGTGCTGCTGCCCCTCAGCTCCAGGCTTTGGTGTGCAGGAGCCAGCGTTGCAGCCAGGACAGGGCATGTGCTGGGGCTGTAAAATACGCAGCTGGCTGCTACTTCTCCCTTCAGGGGCTGCTCTTGGCTCCTTCCTGGCTGGATCTGCATGCCCCGTGCTTACCCGGTGCTGCAGGCTCACGGGCCCTTTGCATGGCCGTGCCGCTGCGTGGCTCTGCTCAGGCTGCAGCTCTGCTCTCTGCTGTGCCCCAGGGGCTTTCCTCAGCTTTTCTGCAGCTTCATCTCCTCAGGTGGCACTGGGGCAGCACTGACCTGGCACACCGCGCTGGGGTGCGGGCGGGTGTGCTTTGCTGCCTTGAAGAGGGGTGGCTTTGCCTGGCTGGCTGTTCCTGCACGTGACTTGTGTCCCTTCCCCGCAGCGCAGGCCCCAGGCAGCGTTAGGGTTCTGGGCTTCTCAGGGCTTGTGCCCGGGGCTGCTGTGAAGCAAACACTGCAAAGTCCATAAATATACAAACTGTAAAAACAAAGAAAAGGAACAAATGGGTTAGAGGACAGATGGGTTCTGCAGGATGGATCTACATGGAGGGTTTCCACATTCTGTTCATTGCTGTAACCCCATTAAACTGGCACCTGCTCACATCCTGGGTTCTGTGACTTGTCTGTTTCAATAGTCTCCCCTCCCCCCCCCAAAAAAAAGAGCAGACAGAGAAGAGCCTTCCCATTTCTTTAATCTGTGTAACTCACAATGATACTGTACACAAAGCACACCCAGGCATTGGAACGATGCACTAACAGCAAGGAGGAGAAGGAAGTTGTACAGAAGGTTTGTCACACACAAGCGAGTCATCGGCACGGTGCTGTACACACAGGGGCGTACCCAGCGTGGCTGCCGGCGCCCTGGGGCCTGCCCTCCCGTGGTTCCCCACACGCATCTGTTACACCCCTAAAGCAATTTTTTATAAATAAAATATAACTAACGTCGTCGGAATATATAAAATTGACAGTCGAGGGTATCAACAGGCAGAGGGTGGTGAGGACAGGGAGGGAGGGGACCGTAAGGCTTCTAGAACTAACAGGAAATGCAGCAAACGGTGGGATACCTGAAGAAGGGGCTGCTGCAGCAAGCACGGCGGCTGCTGGGCGGAGCGGGGCTTTGTTAGTAACCCTTTGGCTAGTTACTGCTCTCGGCTCACGGGTCGGACACTGTAAACGTTTTTGGTTATTAAAATTTCGCCTCATCTGACTGAGTGATTTAAGCAAACCCAGGAAAACAACTCAGAGGGAATGCATGGGCTCCTCTTCTTAGTTTTTTTTAAAAGACTTTAAAGGGAGAGTGTCACGTAGAAAGTCTGGCCCAAGAGCGCAGGAATACAAAAAGCTGCTTTTTATAAAAATTCTGAGCTCTACAGCAGTTTGATTCCCATGGAAACAATTTAAAACAAAACCCAAAGCAAACGGAGGCAGCCTGTGCAGCACGGGCTGTATTGTGCTAGTGTGTGAGAACAGGACGTGGGCTGCAGCAGACGCAGCGCGACTGTCACCGGTCGCGCCGATGGCTGCCCAGACAACAGCGATAGGGAGGAGTAAGAGAAACTTCATATTCTTTCGTTTTTGAAGCAAAGGAGTTATTTGTAACAAAGATAAATTAGGTCTGTCGCCTGACAGTGCCCCTTGAGTAAGGATGGAAAATACATTCATCTTTTCCCTCACTGCATCCAAACGGATCCTCTGCCGTACACGTGGAAAGGCATCGGGTCACACGCATCGCTCTTGAAAACAGCTCGGAACAAACAGGTTATAAACACAGAGTTAAACTATTGCTATTGTTCTTGGAGTGAGTAGCACGTTGATCTTTGCTCCAGATAGATGAGTGCCAGATGGGGGCGGCTGACGATAGATTGATGCAGACTATGACGGACTGAATCGGTGGAGAAAAAACTTATTGGCGTATTTCCTGGTAACTACACCCACCCCATCTGGTATTATTGCAGCAATAAAGGTCCTGCTCTACAATTGCTTCTCCGTGTTGGATCCGTACAATGGCCACAGATGGGGGGGCCAGGGAAAGGACCCGGGCGAGTTTCAAGAAGCTCAACAAAGGATGAGGACAGAGGTGCTGTGATTGTCAGTCTGACTGGTTAGTAGCTGCTTAAAAGATGAAGTGATGAAGAGGTGAGTATAATATTGCACTTCTGCATTCATTGACAGTTACATTAAACTTGGTCCATAAAATAATTGCTTTGTACATAATGCCTGAAACAAAAAGCTACATTTTTAAATATTAATAAACCCTGAAGGTTCCAGTCCCTCCAGACATTTTTTTTTTCCTCTACATAAATAAATAACTTTCAGTTTTATATATCCACTTTTTATGTTGAACATTTACATTCGCCTCTGTTTTACACTATCTACACGTAAGAAAATGTGAACATCTCGTCAGCACTGGAAAATGTACAGATCATGCCTTGGTTGTGGACTTGGGAGGAAAGTTGAATTTTGCAAAGGCCATATCCAAATTTGCAGAAATTATTTTGTGATTTGGTTTGGTGACTTCACAGGATGGAGTGTGGCTTGGCTTCCTACTCAGATGGCGTCTGATAGAACATTCCACTAGCAAAGAGCTGGGACAATTCGCACTGGTTTTAAACCCAGCGGGCTCTGATGTACATTCAGAGAGAGCTAAGCTGAGTCGGCAGAAAGGGAAGTGAGGTTTTGGTAACAAAAGTCATCGGATACATTCTGTAACTGGATCATTAGCAAAGAGAAGTGGTTAAACAGTTTGCAGTCAGGCTGCAAGACGTGGGAGATGCACTGGGCGGCGGGCAGGCAGTCGGGTTTGAGTGCTCCACGGCTCGGACGCCAACGGCAGCTCAGCACTGTCCCTCTCCGCCTCCGCATCAACCCTCCAGCGCCACGGACACGTGAGATCTACCTTGGATGTCTGATGAGTTAAGATTTGCCCACCGTGGCTCAGAGCCAATTAGCAGAGCAGTGTTCACAGTGCTGTGTGTCTCAGTGCTGCCGTCCTGCACTTCATATTGAAACAGTTAATAATAAAATGAAGCAGCCAGTCTAAAAAAGTCTTTGTTATAAATAAGATCCTCGTAAGTAGAAAGTGATATAAAGACAGGGAAGTGTGGTGGGGGACAGCAGGGTCACACAGCAGCGGGGAGCTCGGTAGGACTATAAAATCTCCACATGAAGAGGCCAACTGGAGTCTGTAAATGGGCACCCTGGACCCCCCAGGGCAGACCCCCCGGGGTGGATCCCCTCCAGCCCGGGAGGTGTGTGCAGGGAGGGAACCAGGCCCTTGGCTGGAGCCAGGCTCTCCCAGTAGGGACAGGATTAAGGGGCTTTTTGGCAAGCCCTTGCTCTAGGCACTGTTCTCCGCTGCCGCAGAGCGATGCGCTCCCGCTCCTGTACCGCACCGGGGATGCTGGGCAGCAGCGAGCGCTTGGCTCCGCGCGCCGGCAGCTCCCCTCTGCCACGCACCCCAGCTCGCTCCTGCAGCACACAAACCATCCACTCAGGCACATCCACTGAGAAACACACCAGGAAAATTAAGATATGGCCTTTTCTTAAGCTTGCCTGACATTGTTGGCACACTTCCTTACAGTCTCCTTACTGCTGGAAAAACTTCTGCACAGATTTTCTTTTTTTTAAAAAAAATATATACACATATATATATATGTGTGTGTGCATATGTATATGCATATATGTATATATATACACACACACCTTGGCTTAGCAATAGGTCATTGTCATGCACTACAAACAGTTAGGTGTAGCTACATGAAATGGTAACAGGTTTCCATTCTAAAAATCATCAGTGCAAAAAACAATGAGGTTTTACAGTTCAGTAACTACAGGTAAAAGAAGCGAGTCTAATTCCCATGAAAGCTGCTACTGAACTCGGAGAGAACCTGGGAAGAAGAAAAGGTCTCAGAGGTGGGTGTTGAGAGTCAGACCCTGCATTTGGATGAGTAGAACTGCAATGCAATCTAGCTGCTGAGTGCCTTCAGCTGCTTCCAAATATACGGTGGTTACTTTTGGAAATAATATATAGTGAGGATATTTGGAGACTTTAACAGCAAATTAAGTGTCTGAGGTTTGTAACAGCTCAAACAAAATAGCTTGTATCCCTCTTTTAATAGGTCAACGCATTAAATTCCATCGGCTTCTAGAAGGTCTCTTTAAAAAATAACAGTAATAACAATAACGACCCCACTTTCTCGGGTGTGAACCTGCCAACATTCTGCCCCTACCAACAGCATCGATACATCTTTACGCTCTGCCACTGCACGCACTCCTTGAGAAAATGGCTGAACTTGAAGCTCTTTGAACAGGTAAAGCTCTCGGTTGCTCTGCCTGGCACAGCCCAGGAGAAATCCTGGCTTGGGGCAATGGCATTGTTATTGAACCCAAACCCACCCCGTGCCGGCACCGGCAGAGCACCTCAGTCTGACTCCTGGGACAACCAAAAACAAGTTCCCCCAGCCTCATTCCCTGTTTCTGTGGCTCTGAGGACAGCACTCGGTCCCGTGTATCAGAGCGATGGCTAACAAGGCGAGGAGGCACGTATTTACAGTCACTAAACCTGGATAAGAGAAGGAGGCAGGAGAGAGCGCGATCTTGACCTGGAGACTTTTCCCCTCCCCGATTTCCAGCTGTTC